CTATAATTACGATAGAATATTGGTAATTGTTACGACAATTTTTCAGCTTTGATTCCAAGATCTCAACAGATGCAGAACTTGCTTTTTCTTATTTAATAAAAATAGTGTTAACTTTTATTTGTTTCAAAAATTATTCTGCATATAATATATAATGATTAAAGAAACAAGTTTGAGTTTGAATCAAGATGTGAATATGCGCCACATAATTTTTTGAGTTGCAAGTTGCAACAAAAAAATATTCTAGTCTTGAGGTCGTGAAAAATAATATTAATTGAAACAAAATGATAAAATTGACACTTTGTAATAAATTTTGTTTGAAGGTGCCTCCCCCCATACAGAACGGAATCTCGGAAAACGGAATCTCAGAATTATTCGATTGGTTAGTCCCATGAGGCTTGTGGTTAGCCTCATGAGACTAATCAATCAGAATGATTCCGAGATTCCGTCTTGCATGCTGGGGAGGCACCCTGAGTATTAACAATTATATATATATATATATATATATATATATATATATTATAGATTTTACAAAAGTTTTTAAAAGTGTACAAAATTGATAAAAATTGTTACAAGTTTGTATAAATGCTTTGATTTAGCATGTTTTCAATGGTATATAATATTAATTACAGGTCCGATAGATTGCAACAATGAATAACAGCAATTTGATGCACCGTATTATGAAAAAATACAAATCACTCGAATCATTCGGCACAAAAATGTCAGCTTCTGCTATTCGGAAGGTTGAAAAATATGTAATGATTGATGAAAAATTAGGTCGTCATGCTGACGACAACATCAGGAAAGCCGAAACGAGCTACGTAAAGGAATATGTAGAAAAAGATGAGGACGACTACATGCAGGTGATTAGCATTAAGATATGTGATATAATATTGCAGTCTGTATTTTGTTCGTTTTATTTATATCTTTCCTATCGTTCCTTGTAGTTGAAAAGAACTATGTACTTAAAAAAAAAAGATATGGACAATATTTTGGAGGTGTCTGGAGACTCAGCAATTTTCAAACAAAATACTGCTCGATTTTATCAACAGTACAACTTTGCCTATCAGCCCAACAGTAATTTACCAATTTCCTCTATGAGACACAAGATTGTATCCATGATCGCCCATAATTCTGTCGTTATCATTCGCGGTTCTACAGGCTGTGGGAAAACAACACAAGTGCCACAATTTATTCTCAACAATGCATATGAAAATAACCAACCTTGCAACATCATAGGTATCTCATCGGATTTAGAGTGCATTCCCCAAAGCATCCAACAAAATATTACTTTAATTTTATTGGCATTGTATGTGATGTGATACATGGAATATGTTTGTATCTTGCAGTAACGCAGCCGAGACGCATTGCCGCTCTGAGCGTCGCGAAACGAGTCAGCGCGGATAGAGAATGGCCCATTGGTACAATTGTAGGATATGAAATAGGCTTGAAGAAGAATGTAAGCCGCGACACTCGCATAACGTATTGCACGCTTGACGTGCTTTTAAACAGACTCGTGAATAAGAAGCACATGATGGACTACACTCATATCATATTGGACGAGGTGCACGAACGCGACGGAGACATGGATTTTCTTATGCTCGTAGTGAGAAAATTATTACGTACAAATTCTACGACAATTAAAGTAATACTAATGTCCGCGACGATCGACGTGGACAAATTTTCCACGTATTTTTCAACGCCTATGGCAAATCAACTTGTACCCGCGTCAATCATCGATATACCCAAGAGCAGCCCTTACAATATTTTTATATATTACATAGACCAGATGGGGAATTTGGGTAAGGTGAGTATACATTTTCTTATATGATCAAAATACAATTGAATACGATTAATAGAGAGAAGCAATCGTATGAAAAATATATTGTGTTTTTTCCAACAGATCCCTGAAGTAGACAATAAGAAACCGAAAATCACGACTGAGATGGCGGAGTTTGCCGCACGTATTATACGTGTTTTCGATAGTATTGACAAAAAGAATGATAGTGATGAATACGAAAGGGCCACTGTGCTAGTGTTTTTACCGGGATTTGGCGAAATTGAAGAGTTACGTACTGCATTTCTGTCATCAAAACACGAAGATGCAAATTGGGATATAATTATTTTACATTCGTTAATCTCGATCGAAGAGCAGCAAAATATATTTAAGAAGCCACCAAAAAATTATCGACGTATCATATTATCGACAAACATTGCTGAAAGCAGCATTACCGTACCCGATGTTAAATACGGTATGTATATTGTCGGTCAATCGTTGAGATTGTAAATAATATTTTTTCGTCAGACTAATTATATCTATAAATTCATTCTACCCATCTATAGATATATAATTCTCACTTTTGTTTTCAGTGATTGATTTTTGCATGACAAAACAGCTCGTCACCGAGCCTGGAACTAATTATCAATGCTTGCAACTTTGTTGGGCAAGCAAATCCAATTGTGAACAACGTGCCGGTCGTACAGGCCGCGTGATGGATGGTAAAGTATACAGAATGGTGCCAAAAGCATTTTACGAGGTAAATATAGACTTTACATTGAAATCAATTGATCTTGATCTTTCGCAAAACCTGTAAGTTACATTATTTTGAAAATTTCAGAAAGTTCTACCGAAAGAATCTGTTCCGAAAATGCTCAGGGCTCCGCTCACAAATATCATTCTCAAGACAAAAGTGCTGGATATGGGCGAGCCGAAAGCTCTCCTTGCTCTTTCTCTGGATCCACCTAATCTCAGTAATATAAAGGAGACTATATTACTATTGAAGGAAGTTGGCGCATTACGTAGAGGAATGCAAGAATTTGATGGGGATTTGACATCATTGGGTCGTGTAATGGCCAGCCTCCCGTTAGACATATACGTGACCAAATTAATTGTGCCGGGCCATCTTTTCGATCTTCTGTCAGACGCGATTATTCTCGCAGCTAGCATGGCTGTTAAGAATATATTCAATATCGGATTTTCCAACGTGGAGTCAACCTATCACGAGAAACTGCATTGGGCCGACAATTCCCAAAGCGATAGCATAGCACACTTGAACGCCTTTAAAGTGTGGCGAAACAATAAAGCAAGTCGCCGTATAAACAGTCCTAACGAGGAAAGAGATTGGGCGCGAAGACATGGTCTTCGCGTGAGATCGCTACGCGAGATGGACGTCTATATACGCGAAATAACAGAAAATCTGCGCAAATTTGGAATAATAGAAACAATGGGTTCCGAGAAAAATACTTAGGAGAGCCTCCGTATCGATCGTACTTTTGTACTTAAATTTATAATCGCCGGTGCATTTTATCCTAATTATTTTATGAAATTCTCACATAACATAAATAATCTCAAGTGGGATATAGAGAGGACATTGGGTGGCCGCGATCCGACGACGACGGTTGTCTTACACGGCTGGCCGTTGAAACACCCCGGATCACTGTACTCTAAGAGATTTCAGGAGATCTTTGGACAGCGTATGGGACTCAAAAATCCGAAAAACATAACTGTGTCCTTTGACGGATCGAGCCACGTTTATATTCAACATGAGCCGAAGAATCGCCAACCAAAGGATGATACTTTTGTTCGAGATTGTGTCAAGATGAGGCATTGTGGGAACCAGATCGAAATAAAGTTATTAAACGAGACGGATGCACGTCACCGAGCCGAGGAACTTGGGCTCACAAAGGAATACGGAACATTTCTGTCTCAACCTTTCAATCCGGAGGAATCGCCGTACAAACGTGACATGTACGACGAAAAGCCATATCCAGATTTACCAAAAGATTCCAAATATCGAGGTAAGGTAAAATTACAAGGTCCCTTTTCGCCGGCAGAAGTTCGCCTGACCCATATGATAAAAAACAAAATGGGTAAAATAATAACTATAGACTTCACATCGGTAAACTCCGTTCTACTCGACCCTTGTCCGACGAGTCAGAAAAAACTTTTCCTGGTGGCGCAAAACATCTCACAAAACTCCAAGAACATGTCGCAACTGATTCTACGAAACACAACCCTCTTGCCCACTACGCCTGATGATCTCGCGTCGCTCGTCAATTTAACTTTTACACCGCGCATAGAACTGCGACGTAGTCCAATGGGCACTTATTACACAGGCGCTCTGTGTGGATTGGGATACAATCGCATTACGGAACAGAGCTTGTTTCCGGACCATGATCTGGAAATTATATTTGACGTCGAGTTTACGATGAACGATTTGCGAATGGTACGTCTAATATTCAAAATTTTTACATTTATGATACACTCAGATATATTTTATCTGAAACGTTTCTTTTGTTTGCAATATACATGAATTGTAAACCTTCTGTTGGCAGATTAACAAGCTTCGCCATTGGATGAATGTTGCAATGAACTTTAATAGAAATGAAATTGTAGACGACGAGGCTCATCGTGATACGACTATAAATTGTCAGAATCAAATTAAAAATGCGTTCAAAGATGTGATATACAAGATTCGTAAGAAGATAGAACCAATTCCAGTCATTAATTTTAACAAATGGAATCGATACGACGAGACTCTATTTCTCGTGCCTGCTCGGGAAACTTTGAGTACAAATAATGTATACGGTTTACACAAAGCATTGGAATTGAATGAGAAAACCGATACACTCAATAAACTCGAAGAAATAATCAGTAATTCGTTGGAATTGGAGGCTTTAGCTTATCAGTAAGTACATTATTACGTCTTTACTTTAATCATCTAGAGTAATCAGTAAAATTATAAAATTATATTTTTAAAAATAAAACATTTTCTTTATATTGTGTACTTGGTGAAAAACGCTTTAGGCTGCATTCCGATATTCACTGCGAGTACTAAAAATCTATAGTGTGCTTAACGTGTAAACTATAAATTTTCAGTACTTGCAGTGAATATCGAAATGCAGCCCTACAATCAAATACAATGTTTCGTTACTAACAATTTATTTAAAAATTCTTTCACACAAACTTTAAAACGTTTGATAATCAATTTAAATATATTCCATAGAATTTGGATCATTCTAAATATATAAAGAAAATAATATCCTTTATATTGATATAAATATAATGTTAATATTTTGTATTCTCTGCGTGCACAGAAACCCGCTTGAGACGACCATTGCACCAGTTTACTGCAAATTGTGTCTAACGGAGATAAATGATATCTTAAATCTTTGTGCACATTTGGGCTCGAAACAACATACAACGAAACAATGCTTGATAGATACGACTGAAGAATTTGGAGGAAATCTGCAGAAACTTATGGAAACAATCAGGCCATAATATAATGAATAAGTCCAAATTTTGCGTTTCTACGTATCTTTTTTTATTTTGCGACTTTAGTTTTTATGTGAACAATTTTTTAATTGCGATATCGTATATTTTTATACTTTTTTATTCACTTTTTTATTTTCTTAATTATGCGACTTTATTTTAAGACGCAATGAATAATAAATATATTGCGAATGTAAGAGATATAAGAAGAAATTATTTTTTCTTATATTATCTATTTCTTTTCATTCTTATCTCACACCTAAACATGTTATTTTTAACATTAATATTTTTAAATTAATTTACCAATTTAATAAGTGAGGTTAAATTTTTTGTGAGCATATAATAAGTTTGTCATAAATGTATTATACATGTAGTACAATATACATTATACATATGCAATGTATCATACATTTGTATTATATTTTTTTGCTAAATACACGAAATTATAATTATAAATTGTACAATTGTATAATTGGAATTACACTTTCATCTGCTATTCAACAATGTTGTTACGCTGCTATTCAACTGCTTTAATGTAATTCTTTTTTAATTTTCTTTTTCAAAGAAAATTAATAATTTTATCCACGTAATTATATCCAAAGTACCGCAGACGTTACTGTGTACATATTATAAATTAATTTTCAATCAAGTTAATCACAAGTTTGTTCGCAGAGTTGCTATATAAAAATAAAATGGAGAAATTATTGTTTGAATATTAAAAAAAAATGTTTTTTATTCTCAATATATTGAAAGTTTTCAAATTTTTTCATATACGTATAAATGTTTGTTTATGTTCAATGTAGCGTAACGTGACGTTAAAAAAATTAATTTTTTTTTCAATTCTTAAAAATCTACACATTTTTCCCTACTTTGTAATAAATGGAATATATTATATACCATATTTTTCGCCACCACAGTTGTTTCACATTTTCACAACATGGTTGACATTTTATAAATATTCTTTATGTAAACATTATTATTTAAAAAAATATCGTCTACTTTATGCTCTGTCAATCCTATTTGGTTTACAGATTAGACTATATATATGTGTATAGAGATCGAGTGAGAAGCGAGTATATATACTCAAAGCGAACATGATGAATTCCATGTCGGAGAAATAAAATCAATTATATAACAGACTTTTAATATGAATCAAGTTTTAACAATAGACAAATTATTGGTGGAAACTATCACTGATAGATCAGTAAAAACTATTAAGAGAAGAACATGGTTGCAGCTGTGATATTTATTTTTGTTTTATTCACAAATACCTTTACATCTCACTCAAGTTATTAAACGATCCATCGCGCGGATATACTAGGGATCTTTATGGGAAAAAATAAAAAATATATGGCAAAATATATATCTTTTAACATTAGAAAATATTAAATCATTTTCTTGCAATGAAATATAAACGAATTACCGTGTGTGAATGCAAATGAAATACTTTGTTACTTATAGAAGAGACGTCTAAATGAAAAAATAAAGGCATCAAATCTTTCTAGAAACTGAATTGGATGTGATATTTTTATCTTTATAATATTTTTTTACTTTGAAAGAAAAAAGTGCAAAGGTAATATTGCATGATTGCTGAAATGTTTCCCTATATAATAAGTTTAAAATCAAACAAGTAAAGAATTAAAATGAAATTGCTCATTTTGTATTCTTCTCAAAGAAAATGGCAGATTTCGCATTCTTCTCAAAGAAAAATGGCACATTTGCGTTCGTTTTAGCAAACAAGAAACAAACGATACTTTTAGTAAAATACAATATATATATAAAATTCTGAAATATAAATTGTCGATGATGTAATTTTCCGCAATTCTGATCGCGGTTGTCTCGAAACTCGATTTTGATTTTGATACTTACCAGTTATTTCAATTTGTGGCTGTCGCAAATGGTGATATTTTGACATTTGACAGTTACGTACGTAGAAGATACGATTAATATATCCTTTTGGATGTATGGATCAATATATTGTTTCTCAGATAAATTTTATAAATCATTTTTAGTATAATCTTTATTCTTAATTTTTTAGAAATGATACTTTGTGTTATTTTTTTATTTTCAATAAATGGTTTTTATTTTTACTCTTTGTAGAAATGTATTACAATGAGTAATGACTGTATGTATAATAAGGTTACTTCTCATTATACATGAATTTATGCGTAACGAGAACATAACAAAATTTAAAGCATTGTGTGAAAAGAGGAAGAGAAATAATAATGAAAGAAAGAAGGAAGGGGAAAGGTATTTAAAAAAATAAATAAAAAAATTTTAATTTTTTGTATGTTTTTCTTTTAAATGTATCAAGGTTGTTTTTCAAATATGAGATTTAAAGCATTGGCATAAAAAAGAAAGATAAATAATCAGGAAAGAAGAAAGAAAAATTATTTAGGGTAACTCCAGTAGTATTTATGCCACGTAGGATTTATGCCGCAGAAAAAATTGAAGGAATAAAAGGTATTTGCCCGTAATTATTCTTTTACGTGCCTTTATACAATATTAGTATTGTAATACAGTAATCATTAATATTGGAATACAGCAAAATACGCAAATGCATAGCTCTTATATTATTTGTTTAACTTATTGGTATAATTAATTTGCCTTAAACATAATAGTACTGAATAAATTAAGTTTTCCTTAGCTATAGCGTATATGAAAGAAAAAAAAAGAAAAATCGAATAAACATATAAAGGTAAAAGAATCAAAAAATAAAATAATATAAAAAAAAATAAAACGAAAGAATATACTGTTTATAACAATATGTTTTTTTTTATTGAAAAAAAATATTGTACCTCTTGCTTTGATAATATAAATGATATAAATTTAATGCTTTACACATGGAAAAGTAATCATTTTACGTAAAATAAAATAAAATAAGTAAATGCTTTTCTTGGCTTTAAAATGATTATTTTTCTGTGTGTACAATCTATATATTCTACAAAAAGAAAATCTATAATCTATATATATATATATATATGGTGTAGGTAATATAGCTGAAATAAAATGAAATTTTTTACCGTTTTACAATTTAATTATTGCAGAAATCACAAAATAACAAATAATTTTTTTATTTAATTTAATCAATACCTACTTATTCATGAGCGATATATACGTTATATTTTTATCATTCACAAATATTCATGCAAATTTACATGTATGTATATATGAGTACAATATAATTAATTTAAATTTACAATAATAAGAACAAATTAAAATACAAACTATTACTTAAATACATATTATTGTATTACATTATTCTATAATATTTTCCAATTTACTTGTAATGTACTTTCTTTCTTGTAATTTACTTTCTAAAACTGTTGTTTTTAGAGTTATATGAATAATATAATTTTATAGCTAAAAGAATAGATTTAAAAAAAATGGTGTAAATAAGAAAAAAAATTACAGATGTATTAATTTGTTATTATAACATTAAAAAATATAGTATAAAATAAAAAAAAAAGAAAAATTACAAATTATGAATTGTAGTCAATAGGTCAAATAAAAAAAAGTATTTTAATGCTTAAATCAATTCATAAGTATGTCGATATAAGAAATATAACTATGTAAGTTATCCAACATAATTGATAGCATTTAAAAAATGATAGATGATGGAAGAAAATATTATATAACACAAAATTGAATGATTTTTTAAGTTTCAAGTTTTATTCCGACGTTACTGTTATGCATTTTTGTACATAATTGTTGTAAAAAAAATTAGTTTTGTTTTTTGGGAATCTCATATTTTTAGAAATAATAATTAACACATTGATTGATTATTAATGTAATAATTGATTGCTTTAATTGTTTTTCTTATCTGTACAATTCTCTGTTCAAACTTATACTAAAAACTAAATTATGTTTGCCAATTTATTATTTTTAATATTTTGTAATATGAAATATTTTGGACTTGGTAAAATAATTAATTTAGTTTACTTAAAAATTAATGATACATAAAAATAACCAAATAAATGTGTAATATCCAAACTCATGTGTATGCGCATGAAGGATTAGTATATTATTAACTCTCAGCCTCTGTCCATGGATCATTTGTGTCCGGCCAAAATCTATTACCTGCGTAATATCTTGAAACTCAACAGAGATGGAGTGCCATTTGTAATAGTAGTTGAAAAAAAATTTTAAGTAAAGTGTTACTTTAGGGAAAAACTTTGTTAAATTCTACTGGTATATATAGTTGCGAGTACTGATGGAAATTATAAATCTCAAACGGACACGAATGACCCATGCACACAGGGGCTATATGTGTGTGCCAAATACACGATCTCAAAATTTGGTATTTTTGTGCAAAAAATTGTTTTATGGCTTTTGAAGAAAAATAACGTTAAAAGAAGTTAGATAAGTATTAAAATTAAATATATAAGACAATTAAGACTCATATGTGAAGAACATTGCTTATGTGTATGCCAAGATTGTTATATTAATCATAAAATATAAAAATATAAACTTTTATCATACTTATTTTTTCTTTTATAATAAAGAAAACTAAATAATAAATAAATTACAAATTTTATTGTCTTTAATAAGTATAAATATGTTACCTGTTGAATTGTACAACGCACCTATCACTTCAATTTTATTACCTTTATTTATCTTTAGTTTTAAATAATCATCAGTCGGAAAATTTAAAAGATGTACTTTTACTTCAAAAATCCCATAATCTCTGTCACTGAATCATAGCCAATATATTTTTATTTAATTTATTGTCATGTATTTCCACAAAATTTGTTTTAATGTATAATAAGCTTTCAATACTATAAAAAATGATACATAAGTAGATGTTAAAATATAAGAACTAAATTAAATAAATAATATATTTAATTTTAGAATTAAGAAAATATTACAAATAAAATTCCTTTTGTGTTTATAAAAAAAAATTGTTTTAATATTTTAAATATCATGAATATACATATATAATGAGATGACTTGATTTAACACTAAAAAAACATAATTTTATTAAATATAAATGCAATTATATATAATTT